CAGAATTAGTACCAGAGTAGTACCAGAATTAGTACCAGAGTACCGGTAGTACCAGAGTAGTACCAGAATTAGGACCAGATGTAGTACCAGATTTAGTACCAGAATATGCTAAAAATTGATAACCAGAGTGCAAAAATGTCACTTCTTTCTAATATTTGGTGTGCATGTGTCTTGCAGAAAACATCTGCAGTTTCCTATTTTTGATGTTGGTTCAAATATACTGTTACTGTTTATTAAATAAATGTGATGTGCAGGTTCATTTGGTTCACACTTACCTGCATTCAGGTTTGTTTTAATGTTGTATATACAATGTGTCAATATCAACTCAATAATTTTCATATTTACCAAGATAGATTCAGATTTTTAAGGAAATACAGCAGAGGTATTTCAACCAACATCTCATTTGTTGTACCACAGAATATCAATCACTTCACCATCAGTGCCTGATTTTCTTCTCTGTTATTGTAGTTTAGGGAGTGTTCTGTACAATGTTTACGATGGGAGTGGCCTACATATCCCAAACCAGTGGACAAAATAGATTACAGTCATGCATTCTATGTTCTTCTCTGTTATTGTAGTTTAGGGAGTGTTCTGTGCAATGTTTACGATGGGAGTGGCCTACATATCCCAAACCAGTGGACAAAATAGATTACAGTCATGCATTCTATGTTCTTCTCTGTTATTGTAGTTTAGGGAGTGTTTTGTGCAATGTTTACGATGGGAGTGGCCTACATATCCCAAACCAGTGGACAAAATAGATTACAGTCATGCATTCTATGTTCTTCTCTGTTATTGTAGTTTAGGGAGTGTTCTGTGCAATGTTTACGATGGGAGTGGCCTACATATCCCAAACCAGTGGACAAAATAGATTACAGTCATGCATTCTATGTTCTTCTCTGTTATTGTAGTTTAGGGAGTGTTCTGTGCAATGTTTACGATGGGAGTGGCCTACATATCCCAAACCAGTGGACAAAATAGATTACAGTCATGCATTCTATGAAGGCGTATTCCTTAAGGTGCTTTTTGATAAACTCTCTCAATTGCTGGATCAGGTGAGCGATCTTTTCATGTTTACAAAAACAAAACAAAAAAATATAAATTATAAATATCTTACTACTGAAAAATATTATGGAATTATTCTCTAAATTTGTTTTTGAATTTTTTCTGATCAGCCATATGAAGTCAATCTACAATTGACATCGGTGATGGCTAAACTGGCTCAGTTTCCACATCCGCATACACATGAATTTATGCTGGATCCGTATCTACGCCTAGAACCAGGATGTCGGTCATTGTATACAGTCTTATGTAGAGTAAGTATGGAATCATGAATGAATGTGAAAACCATAGAATTTAGTATTCCATAAAACCTCTATGGATGTATCTGGTAGTGAAAACCATAGAATTTAGTATTCCATAAAACCTCTATGGATGTACCTGGTAGTGAAAACCATAGAATTTAGTATTCCATAAAACCTCTATGAATGTACCTGGTAGTGAAAACCATAGAATTTAGTCTTCCATAACACCTCTATGGATGTACCTGGTAGTGAAAACCATAGAATTTAGTCTTCCATAAAACCTCTATGGATGTATCTGGTAGTGAAAACCATAAAATTAATATTTGATAAAAACCTGTGTTAAGCTTTTTGGGTTGGTCATGAACAAATAATGAGATATGCTCAATATTTGACTGTTGTGATTTAATATAACTTTATTTCACAGTTGGTGTCTGACCTGAAGTCCAGAGTGAAAGCCATGCCACATTTCCAAATACAATGTATACAAGTACGTAAACAGCTGACTGAGATGACGGAAGAAGAAAGGTAAAGTGTTTGTAGGTTACTCTAAAGAAACTAGCAATTCATGTGAAACACAACGTGAACCAACTATGATACCACATGCTCTGTGATAGGAGAAACTAAATGGTGTATTTGATGACTTACTCAGACAACAACAATTGTTATTTGGACTGTTTTAGTGATTATACCATGACTAGCTATGTGATAGGAGAAACAAAATGGTGTATTTGATGACTTACTCAGACAACAACATTGTTATTTGGACTGTTTTAGTGATTATAGCATAACTAGCTATGAGATAGGAGAAACAAAATGGTGTATTTGATGACTTACTTAGACAACAACATTGTTATTTGGACTGTTTTAGTGATTATACCATGACTAGCTATGAGATAGGAGGAACAAAATGGTGTATTTGATGACTTACTCAGACAACAACATTGTTATTTGGACTGTTTTAGTGATTATACCATGACTAGCTATGAGATAGAAGGAACAAAATGGTGTATTTGATGACTTACTCAGACAACAACATTGTTATTTGGACTGTTTTAGTGATTATACCATGACTAACTATGTAATAGGAGAAACAAAAATATCATATGATACTGAAACATGTTCATTAAAACTATTTTCATGGTTCAGATTGTTCAAATAATTCTGACCACCAACAGTAACTAAAATTTTACTTCTACTTTGACAGTTCATCATACATTGAACTCATGGAAGGAGTTATCGTGTTAGAAGAATTCTGTAAGGAGCTGGCAGCAATAGCATTTGTAAAAGCCCATGCTGAAAGTGGAAGGATATAAAACACAGCTGAGTGACTTGGTTCTGTATACATCCTGCAATACTGAATGCT